AAGGCCATAACTCCGACAAAATTCATTGAACCATAAGAAGCCGATGATATGCACAACTAGACTTGGTACTGATCCTTCCTGTAAAGTTTGGATGAAATTGTACCACAAAAAACACCTTTTTTTCAAGGGCCATAACACTCATTCAACCTGAAAACCCATGCAATATGCTCAAGGACTTGAGCTTCAGATCAATTGTGTTAAGTTTAAAAAATCCGGATAAACTTTAAAAATAAAAATTATACAAGAGCTGTCGGTAGGACAGCAACGCTCGACTATTTTAAGTGCTTGATAGTAAAGGAGCCTTGATAATGTAAAAAAATTTAAGTTTACAAAAGGGCAAAATTTTTCTTTAATTCCATGTTACAGTTATAGGCCTTGGAGAGAGTCCTATAATGCTCTCAAAGAAGAGTTTGATATTTCAACTTGTTTCAAAGCCAGATGTTAATAGAATATGAAAATAATCTGGGGTGGTATGCAAATTTGTACATAAATTCTAAGTTGAAAAAGGGCATAATTCTGTCTAAATACTTAATACAGTTACCTCCCTCTGTCTACAGATTGGGGTCATGATGGTGAACAAGTGTGCAAAGTTTCAAAGCCATATGTCAATGGACTTTGAAAATATTTGACGTATTACAAAAACTTTAACATAAGTGGTTACGCCGACGCGGACACCTACGCTCGGGTGACTACAATAGCTCTACTTATTCTTATCGAATAGTTGAGCTAAAAAGGGCAATAATCATTGGACCGGAAAATGCTAACAATATGCACAACTAGACTTGGTACTGATCATTCCTGTAAAGTTTGGATGAAATTGCACCAGTAGTTTATGAGGAGTAGTCTGGACAAGTTTTGTGACAGACAGACGGACAGACAACGGAATAATGATCCCTGTATGTCGCCACTACCAAAATAAAAACAAAACAAGGTATAGGCGGCAACAATTCTTTATTTCGCGTAGGCTGAAACAGGTCTCGTATGCAAGTAAAATGGATATTATAAAGAATTTCCTGAAAAACACATGTGAAGCGAAGTTTTTAGTTCGCCATATTGTCTGTACGCGTAACCGTAAAAGTCACGTGATTCCCTACCCTGAATATAAACGTCACGATTATCCAATGAAAAATGACGTTACAAACGTGCAGTATTATAAAGTCTTTTTATAATACTGCACGTTTGTAACGTCGCTTTTCATTGAATAATCGTGACGTTTATAGAGAATAATAGGTTGGTGCCGTGGATGGAGAAAGTTTATCTGGCGAGGCGGAGGAATTTATTGGGTGAGCCAATAAATAATAATGTGATGATGCACATTTTTTTACTTGAAGCTTATTCACCAAAAAAACGTAAATGACTTTTGTGAACCAATAATATTGAAAAATCTTGCTTTTGGAAAATATGCAAGGGGCTTTCGTCTTGTTTTTGCCCGTATCACCTTCATCACCTGACTGTATCTTGGAAGACGAGATAGTCTTCTCAAACAAAATGAATGAACACTATTTAATTATTCTATTTATTTTTGTAGCTACCCAAATTCCCCAACTCTCATACCAAAGCCCAATACCAGAATTTCTGTCACACTTTTCTTGCCAAATAATGTACATGTAGCATGCTTCAAAGTTTTGTTGTGGCCGTGTTAAACGATATTTGACTAAAATATTTTTAAGTACAAGAACACAATTATTTATCTTTTTTTCATTTATCTATTTAATTTTACAAATTCCAAATAGAAAAGAAAGTGTATCCGAAATTCATTTCAGCATCCTTTGCCGGGCAATACGCATCCTGTAAAATAATAATAAAATATTTGTAAACATGACCAAGATTATCTGATACCTACATAATTGTATAATTCAATATTAAAGCAGGAACAATGTTGAAATATCTTCTGGCAAATACTTATGTATATTGTTTAGAGATATATGCATATTAATTTTTTATGTTTATTTATATAATTATGCAGAGATATAGTTTTTCAAATGTTTTTATTTTATTTTTGGAGTTCTTTTTGTATGGAAGTCAAACTACTGATTTGTTTACATTTACCTCCTTTTATGACAAATAATTTCACAAACAGTATTACTTTCATTAGGTAATAGATAAGCATCTGTTTTAACTTGCCCTAAAAACCATTATTTGAACGTTATAAAACTGATTTTTGCCATTTCTAAAGACGCAATAATTTATTCCTTTTTGAGTCGTTATGTACCTTTAAACATATGTTTTTCTTCTTCTTTTATTCTCCACTATAAAAACAAAGCATGTATCAAATATTCCTAAATTAAGAGCTACAAGACTATACACGTGATATTCGGCTTTAAAATTGTCAATTATACAATATTATCAAATATGCCATGATTGACAACCAGTTTTTTAAGCAACACCATACACACAACACTACACGACAAACATTATTTTTTTTTACAATTTTATCTTATTTTTACTGAAAAAAGAGAGAAAACAAATTGTGTTAATAAACACTTAAAAAGTGTAATGCATACCTTATCAATTGAACTGTGAAGTTCACTTGCAGCGTAGATAGACAATATACCAAATGAACTCTCGGCGCCGAAGTCCTCAGCTTCCACAGTTACGTTTCCATTAGAAACTGCTTCAACGGATTTAGCCTGGATTTCTTCTTCATTCTCCTGGAGTTGAGCATTGTCGATGGGTTCCGAAAGCTGCTCGGCATAGGTCAAAGTAATTGACCTTGGTACAAATTCCTCTGCCTCTGCTCTTAAGTTAGAAACAATTGGTAATGGGACGTGTTGATGCGTGCCATAGATAGCCATAGCAACTTCCTGCCTGTTTCTAACATTCATTTTCTTCTCTATACTTTTCTTTTCACGATATTTCATCCATCTCTCCAACTGTTTCTGAGAATACTTCCTTTTCCGCTTTTTCTTTCCAATTTCATTCTTTCCGTTGTCTGTCACCTCGGGAACGGTATTGAAGTGTTCTTCGTCTGTAATAAGCTTTGTTTCATCCATATTTTAGCACATATCGCTTAAAAATTCTTTGCTGTTTAACTATGTATCACAAACTCGTTGCTAAGACGCAATTACTGCGCAGCGACGTCAATACAAACGTCACATGACGTCTACAATAACGAATCAAAGTTACCGTAACGTCCGAAGCTATTTGAAGTTAGTCAGTCAGAAAAAAAACGAGAACATCAGTGATATGATCCTGATTATTTCATTATTATTTTTAATATTACTGTTATTGTTGAAAAATATTATACAATTATACAGAGCCATATTATGTATTTCATAAAGAGATTTTAATTCCAGAAATACAAAATGCCCTGGTATTAGTACCAAACTTGCATTTGCATTTATTATTATTTTTATTGTTGTTGTTCTGTTACAAGAGCTTATTTGACTACATGTATTATATTCCCAGTGTTGTAACTCCGTTACAGCTTTAACCATATGTCGTCTTGATAGCTAATGAGAGCTCGGAGTAACATTTGCAACAAGCACAAGCACGCATTACACCTTAATTAGCTGCCTTGTTTTAAACATCTTTATTTAAGCCCGATTGCGAAACAAGTTCTTGCAACTTATATGAGTCCGCTTCCTGGAAGCAACCAGTATTGGTGTCATATGAAGAAACATGGTCGAACACCCGAATAGGACTCGAACCCATGATCTCTGGGTCCTAACCACTAGGCCACCACTCCCCTTAATTAGCTGCATTGGACATGAATTCAATAGAAATAGATAGTTTGGAAAATAATGCCGCCTTTCATAAAAAAGGATTTCTCAATCCAACGAGAGGCTTTAGTGCGCCAAAGACCGGGCGCAGTGAATTACTTAACAACACAATGTAATACAGCTGAACTCCAGTCAATTGGCATAAGTGTATCAGAGTAACGTCCCATGTGCTATGCAGCAGGCAGGAGATATACTGAAATGCACGTGTACATTGTGCTCAATATTATGTGAAAATTAGCTTGATCAAATGTATTTTGCCTTGAAAATATTTACACCACGTAATTCCATGTGGAAATATAATTATCATAAATTCCCGCGGAATTGACTTAAATATTAGGTGGATAATGTTGACTAACGATTGTCAACTTGATGAAATCACTCAAACGGCAAATATACCCCCTCTATACTATAAATAAACACAAGAAATGCAACGCCTTTTGCACACTCGATACAAATTTTATCTAATTACACACGTAGAAAATCAATGTAAACAAACAGGAGATTGACATTCTATCAATAATTGAAAAATATAAGCAAATTATTAAAAAATAACGGCAAATGTACCCCTCTATAATATCAGCGGTTTAAAATTTAATAAATGGAGGGCACTGTCCAAGGCTCTAGCAATGGACTTTGACAGAATTATGGCCCTTTCTGAACTTAGAAAATATTTGATTGAACATCAATATGAAAAAAATAGAGGTTATTCCTTTGAGACTTAAAACATGTTTTTGAGATCATAACAAGGTCACCCAATGTCCATGACTCTAGCACTGACTTTAACAAATTCTTGGTTGAGTTGTAGGCATCATTGATCTTCAAAACAATGTTTGCGCATTCATAATTGCAGCTCATTATCCAAGGCCCATAATCTAGTATGTATTTTGACTGAAATTATAGCACCACTTTTTGAGCTTCTTGGTTGAAGTATTGCATGCAACATCAATCTGCAAAATTTCAGAATGTATTCACATGAAACTTAACACTATATAATGCCCATATCTCTGACAGGGATTTTAACTGAATTATGCATGAAATCCCCAAAAGAGGCCATATAAAACATGAATTTGATTCAGTCTTGTAATAATTCTATAAAGATGGCCAAATCTTTCAGGTCAGTATGACACAGTGCACATTGTGTTTTTTTTCACCTCAAATATTAAATATAACAAGATCATAATTTATGGTTATTTATTTTGCATTTTTAATGAATAACAGTTTATTAAACATAATTGTGGAAAAATAATATTTGTTTTGGTTTATGCTAAGTCAATGTAGATAGATTCTCTTTCTATCAGCATATTAGAATGGAAATTATCAGATATCAATACTAAAATAATGCATGTTTTATTGTTCAAGTAATTTGTTTTTTTATCATTCAGGCCTACAAGTCTTCAAAATTATGTTAGTGTGCATTTTAACAATAAATCGGCATTAATCTGAAAAAAGCAACAAAAAAACAAGGACCGGTTGAACCGGGCGATGCTCCCCGAGAAGGTTCTGGACACAGGAAAGTATAAAAACAAGAGGGCCATGATGGCCCTGAGGTCGCTCACCTGTATATAGGCCCCCCCCCAACGTTGCAGGGCCAATTTAACCCAAGGGCTTTTATTTGCACAAACTTGGTAGACACCCATAAGAAGATGTTTCATGCTAAACATCTATGGCTGAGCTCTAGCTCATTGGGCTTTTTAAAAGAAGATTTTTTTAAAGTTTTTACTATATACATATAGTTAAAAACAATGACATCCCTGGGGCCGGGCCAGTTTTGACCCCAGGGCTTTTATTTGAACAAACTTTGTAGACACTTACTAGAAGATGTTTCATGCTTAATATCTAAACTCTACCTATTTGGGTTTTTTCAAAGAAGATTTTTTATGCTTTTGCCATACACATATAAAGAAAATCAATGACCCCCGGGGCGGGGCTAATTTTGACCCAAGGTCTTTTATTTGAACAAACTTTGTAGACACTCACTAAAAGATGTTTCATGCTTAATATCTTAACTCTAGCTATTTGGGTTTTTTCAAAGAAGATTTTTTATGTTTTTGCTATACACAACAACAAACTTTGTAGACACCTATTAGAACATGTTTGATGCTAAATATCTTAGCCATAGCTCTTTGAGTTCTTTAAAAGAAGATTTTTTAAGTTTTTTCTATATGCATATAGGGAAAATCAATGACCCCCTGGGGCGGGGCCAATTTTGACCCCAGGGCTTTTATTTGAACAAACTTGGTAGACACCTATTAGAACATGTTTGATGCTCAATATCTTAGCCATAGCTCTTTGAGTTCCTTAAAAGAAGATTTTTTAAGTTTTTACTATATGCATATAGGGAAAATCAATGACCCCCCGGGGCGGGGCCAATTTTGACCCCAGGGCTTTTATTTGAACAAACTTGGTAGACACCCATTAGAACATGTTTCATGCTAAATATCTTAGCTCTAGCTCTTTGGGTTCTTTAAAAGAAGATTTTTTAAGTTTTTACTATATGCATATAGGGAAAATCAATGACCCCCCGGGGCGGGGCCAATTTTGACCCCAGGGCTTTTATTTGAACAAACTTGGTAGACACTCAATAGAAGATGTTTCATGCCAAATATCTAAGCTCTAGCTCTTATGGTTTTTTAAAAGAAGATATTTAAAGTTTTTTCTTTCGGTTGCCATGGCAACCAGAGTTCTGAATTAAATTCTTTGAACAATTTTTAAAGGTGACCACCAAAGGAACATTCCTGTGAAGTTTGGATGAAATTGGCTTAGTGGTTTATGAGGAGATGTCATTTAAAGTAAAAGTTTACGGACGGACGATGGACGGACGCCGGACGAAAAGCGATCACAAAAACTCACCCTGTCACTTTGTGACAGGTGAGCTAAAAATGAACAAAGGGCAAAAAACTCCAAAATTAGGCAAAGTGGAGTTATGTTTTTTTGCACTGCACTTCTATTCAATGAGATCTATCTATCTATAAAGTTTCCTGATGATATCACAGTTATGTCCCGGGTAAAATTCAAAGTGTCAAAATGAACAAAGGGCAATAACTCCAAAATTAGACCAGGCTATGTTTAGGTTCTTTAAGCATTGCAGTTCTATCCAATTATATCTAGCTACCTACAAAGTTTCACTTTTAAAGTTATGTCACGGACAAAAGTCAAAAAAGTAAAAATAAACAAAGGGCAATTACTTCAAAATAAGGCAAGGCAGAGTAATGATTCTTAAGCACTGCACTTCCACCCAATGAGACCTATCTATCTACAAAGTTTCATGTTGATATCTCTTATAATTTTAGAGTAATGTCCCGGACAAAGTTCAAAGTGTCAAAATGAGCAAAGGGCAATAACTCCAAAAGTAGGCAAGACAGTGTTACAGTTCTTGTGCACTGCAAACTTACTCAATGAGATCTATCTTCCTACAAAGTTTCATGTTGATATCTTTTATACATTTAGAGTTATGTCCCGGACAAAGTTCAAAGTGTAAAAATAAACAAAGGGGGATAATTCAAAAATTAGGCAAGGCAGAGTTAAGGTTCTTGTTCACTGCACACCTAATCAATGAGATCTATCTACCTACAAAGTTTCATGTTGATACCTATTATAGTTTTAGAGTTATGTCCTGGACAAAGTTCAAAGTGTAAAATAAACAAAGGGGGATAATTCAAAAATTAGGCAATGCAGAGTTACGGTTCTTGTGCACTGCACACCTACTCAATGAGCTCTATCTACCTACAAAGTTTCATGTTGATACCTCTTATACTTTTAGAGTTATGTCCCGGACAAACTTCAAAGTGTAAAATAAACAAAGGGGGATAATTCAAAAATTAGGCAATGCAGAGTTACGGTTCTTGTGCACTGCACACCTACTCAATGAGATCTATCTACCTACAAAGTTTCATGTTGATACCTCTTATACTTTTAGAGTTATGTCCCGGACAAAGTTCAAAGTGTAAAAATAAACAAAGGGGAATAATTCAAAAATTAGGCAAGGCAGAGTTACGGTTCTTGTGCACTGCACACCTACTCAATGAGATCTATCTACCTACAAAGTTTCATGTTGATACCTCTTGTTGTTTCAAAGTTATGTCCCGGACAAGAAAAGGGGACGGACGGACGGACAAGGCGGCGACTATATGCTCCCCCGAAATTTTTTCGGGGAGCATAAAAACACTTGAAAATTGATATCTATTTGTGAAATCAAAAACTAATACCTATATCTTTTACAATTCACTTGGCCAAATGATCAAATTTTCACCTATTTTTATATCCCCTCTTACAGAGCAGTGACAACAATATAGGGATCACTTTGTCATCTGTCTGTCACAAAACATGTTTTGACTACTCCTCAGAAACTGCTGGTGCAATTTCATCCAAACTTTACAGCAATTATCATTATCAAGTCTAGTTTTGCATATCATCAGCATTTTCTGGTTCAATGATTTATATCAAAGTTATGGCTCTTTAAAGTTTTTTTATTTAATTTTTTGTTGCCAGCTCACATCTTTTCCATGCTACTCCTGAGAAAACTACTGGTGCAGTTTCAAGGATTTTTCTACAAATAGATTCACTGACAAGAAGTGCACATAGCAACAGTTCCTGGTCAGATCTGACCTGTTACCAGTTCCAAAGAATTTATGTTACTTTCAGTGTGAAGCCAATGAAAAATTTAAAGTTTGAATAAATTCTACAGAATATACATATGAAATGTTAACTATAACATAAATGCTCTGGATGGGGTATGCCCATTATTGAGAGATCAATATGTGTGACTTGAAGAGTATTCTAATTTATTTAAAACTTTTTTTTAAATAACTCCTACATTTGGTTATTTAAAAAAAAAAATTCAGTCTTTCTTGACATTAAAGACAGGAATAAAACTCACATGAATATCCAATAATAATTGCCTTATTACTCTTGTACAGAAATATTATTTCTAGCAGTAAATATCTTACTTTGTGGAATTATGGAATATACATGTAATAATGAAACCAGTTTCAAAACTTAAACTTGTACAGTGAAATGACCCTGTGTGCTGTTTTAGTATTTTTGCATAAGCCTAAATAATTAATACTGTTGAAACACTTGATTAGATCATATGAAATACAATTGTTTTTACATTAAAACATTATTTATTTCCACATTTTTATTATTTCAAAATATGAATTTTGTAATTAAACTAATGTGAACAAAAGCCCAAGACAATCTCCCAGGAAAGACAAAGAAAGGTCTGAAGCAGACTTTGTAAAATGAAATTGTTATTTAAGTAATCAGATAGATTTAAAACAAATTTATGATTTGAACAGTTTCTCTATTCATCAACAATACAAAGTGAACAATTCCAGGAAAAGCAGTACCTACATAAACTTGCTTTTTGGAGTTGAACTGATTGTGTTAAAATGAATGTAGGATATTGGTAGGTTTTGTGTTTGGACTTATGGAATCAAAATGTGTACACAATTTTGTGAAGGAAAATAAAATGTGATTCATTTTGTGAAAGAAAATAAAATGCAATTTATTTATTTTCTTAATATTATGAGCAACAGTCCACAAATTTGTGATGTTTTATCTATGGAAATTCCATCCAAAATTCCTGCCTTGGGGAGAATTGAAATTTCCATGTGGAATTTGCACATTAAATTCTGCCCCTTTTCTGTAAGGAAATTGTCATAAAGTTTTTTTTTCCCTTTTCTTATTTGATAACACCATTGAAAACACATGACACTTAAAATATATGTGTAAAGTTGATTTCTAACCAATGCAAAAAGCATGAAATATTAGAAAAATTATTGTTTTATTTTGCATGTAAGATTCAATTATGTTTTACATCTAGTGTTCACTCTGTGAAATATATCAAAATATGTTCCTTATGTCTGTATCATTTCATGGTAAAATCTGTTTATTAATATTTTTTTTATAGACCTCACCTGAAAATTGAGTACACATATAATTCAATTTGTCAATTATTGTCCACTGATTAAAACATTCATTACAAAATAAAATTGATTAAAAGATATAATTTTTATTACTTGGTCTATTAATTCTTAAAAACCCCAAGGGTACATTTTCTTAAAAACCCCAAGGGTACATATTTTGGTTGAATGGACCTTAGATGGAATTATTTCCTACTTTGCAGATTTCTGCTATTTTAACCACAATGTGCCTTAATAAGAGGAAAAATTTGCATATTTTAAGCTCTATTCTCCGTTAGGCCAGAAATACGCTTTATATTATACCAAGGCAGAAAGTGCTTATTCAATATTGAGAGGTCATCAAACAATTATGATTTATGTGAATTCACCTTTATACCAATATCATATCACAGAATAAACAAACTTAACATTTGTACATTGTATCAAGTATAACATTTTCAATCAAATATAACACATTATAACCTACTTTAATATTAAGCAATTAAAACAAGTCTTAAAGAATAAAATAACATTCATATATTGAAATGATAAACAAAGATAAACTCGAAATGTGTCCATAGGACACGGATGCCCCCACACACCACTGTTCTCTCAATCTTATGACTCTAGGTCAAATATTTTTTGGACTACATGTGCCAAAAGTTGAAAACTAAAAATCAACAAAGGGCCATAATTCTGTTAAATTTGGTTGCAGCAAAAATTCCTTCCTTTACTACCATCTACACATTAAGGTTGTTCATCCCTGGAAGTTTAAGCAAAATCTGCCATCCGGTTTAAGAGGAGTTGCGTTCACAAAATTTCCACATAGTATATAGTGAAAAAATCAACAAAGGGCCATAATTCTGTTAAATTTGGTGGCAGCAAAAATTCCTCCCTTTACTACCATCTGCACATTAAGGTTGTTCATCCCTGGAAGTTTAAGCCAAATCTGCCATCCGGTTTAAGAGGAGTTGCGTACACAAAATTTCTACATAGTATATAGTGAAAAAATCAACAAAGGGCCATAATTCTGTTAAATTTGGTTGCAGCAAAAATTCCTTCCTTTACTACCATCTACACATTAAGGTTGTTCATCCCTGGAAGTTTAAGCAAAATCTGCCATCCGGTTTAAGAGGAGTTGTGTTCACAAGATTTCGGGACGTACGGATGGACGGACAGACGGACAAGTGCAACGCTATATGCTCCCACTCTGTGGGGGCATAAAAATAGCTTGTAACATTATTTAAAGATGCTTATGATCATACAAATATAATTATTTATCACATGAACCGCAGTGCAGGAGTGTTATAAAGCCATCTTTTGAAAACGATATTACACTAGTGTAATAATGCTTTGATGAGACGTCATTTGCGTTATATATAAACAAAGCGTTAAGGTGCGCTAATGTTTAGTGTCACACTACAGGCATGTCAATGAAGAGTGACTTTTTTTACAGTTTATCATTCTTATTTATATATCTGATAAATAGAATATTATATTTGTGTAGATTCAATACTATATTTATTAAACTCGTTGAATAAAACAATTTGAAACAATGATTTTATTCAACTCATTTAATAAATTTTTGAGCATTAAATCTACACATATTCAATATCCTCTATATATTGTATGCACAATAATAGAACTCAAGTCTGACTTTCCATTAAATGTTAATAAAGCCTAAAGAATAGTTTCACATCTATAACAATTTAAATACAAGTTCTTTTTTTTTTAAGAACAACTAAATATTGAATGTATGGTTGCATTGTTACAATACAGTTCACAATCAAAACAAGAAACATGGCAATGCCATGAAACCAGGTTTTCAATTATCACCATTGTAGATAAATATGTTGTATTTGAAATACAAATACAAGCAACAAACAATGTAACTATGTGCAATGTAAAACATGAATAATGTAGGAGGAATTGCGCACAGAAGAAGTGTTCACTATATATATTCTGTATAAGGAAAAAAAACAAAGGGCCATAATTAGGTAAACAAGAACCGGTTGAACCGGGTGATGCTCCCCGAGAAGGTTCTGGACACAGGAAAGTATAAAAAAGTATAAAAAAAATGAACAAAGGGCAAAAACTCCAAAATTAGGCAAAGCGGAGTTATGTTTTTTTGCACTGCACTTCTATTCAATGAGATCTATCTATCTATAAAGTTTCCTGATGATATCAGAATTATGTCCCAGGTAAAAGTCAAAGTGTAAAAATGAACAAAGGGCAATAACTCCAAAATTAGACCAGGCTTTGTTTAGGTTCTTTAAGCATTGCAATTCTATCCAAATTATATCTAGCTACCTACAAAGTTTCATGTTGATATCTCTAATAGTTTTAAAGTATTGTCCAGGACAAAGTCAAAAAGTAAAAATAAACAAAGGGCAATTACTTCAAAATACGGCAAGGCAGAGTTACGGTTCTTGTGCATTGCACTTCCACCCAATGAGACCTATCTATCTACAAAGTTTCATGTTGATATCTCTTATAATTTTAGAGTAATGTCCCAGACAAAGTCAAAGTGTCAAAATGAACAAAGGGCAATAACTCCAAAAGTAGGCAAGGCAGAGTTACCGTTCTTGTGCACTGCACACCTACTCAATGAGATCTATCTACCTACAAAGTTTCATGTTGATACCTCTTATACTTTTAGAGTTATGTCCCGGACAAAGATCAAAGTGTAAAATAAACAAACGGGGATAATTCAAAAATAAGACAAGGCAGAGTTACCGTTCTTGTGCACTGCACACCTACTCACTGAGATCTATCTACCTACAAAGTTTCATGTTGATACCTCTTATACTTTTAGAGTTATGTCCCGGACAAATTTCAAAGTGTAAAATAAACAAAGGGGGGTAATTCAAAAATTAGGCAAGGCAGAGTTACAGTTCTTGTGCACTGCACACCTACTCAATGAGATCTATCTACCTACAAAGTTTCATGTTGATACCTCTTATACTTTTAAAGTTATGTCCCGGACAAAGTTCAAAGTGTAAAATAAACAAAGGGGGATAATTCAAAAATTAGGCAAGGCAGAGTTATGGTTCTTGTGCATTGCACACCTACTCAATGAGATCTATCTACCTACAAAGTTTCATGTTGATACCTCTTATACTTTTAGAGTTATGTCCCAGACAAAGTTCAAAGTGTAACAAGTTAAAATCATGTAAACAGGATTTTCAATGTTAATGTCACTGTGACCTTGACCTTGGAGCCAGCCATGCGGAACATGCGTTCTGCACGTCATCTTGATGTGCTAAACATTTGTCTGAAGTTTCATCAAAATTCTTCAAAGGGTTGAAGAGTTACAGAGCGGACAGGATTTTCAATGTTAATGTCACTGTGACCTTGACCTTGGAGCCAGCCATGCGGAACATGCGTTCTGCACGTCATCTTGATGTGGTAAACATTTGTCTGAAGTTTCATTAAAATTCTTCAAAGGGTTGAAGAGTTACAGAGCGGACACAATTTCGTTTGACGCCCGCCCGCCCATCCGCCCAGCCGCCCATCCGCCCATCCGCCCGCCATACCCCAATCTAATAACCAGGATTTTCAAAATTGAAAACCTGGTTAATAACCAACAGCATATTATCTGAACAAAACTGGTTCAATGCAGTAATTACATGGTTCAATAAAGTTGTGACATAAAATGTAATACTAAAACAACAAGACTATGACTTTTTTTCAGCAATAATAGATGGCTTTCCAACAATAGATAATGATAAAGAACAGTAACATTTCAACAGGAAAATGTATGACTTTAGTAACAAAATTACTGAACCTTTGGCAGTAAATAATTTCTGAGCAGCAGGTTTATTTTCATTCTGAATGTCAGTTCTATTAATTAGCCAGAAGAAAATCTACCACTGACTAACAAGTTAACAACAGAGAAACATTTCACCTAAGTATGAGCAGCAAGAAAATTGTTTATACTTCACAAACATTATCACAACAAAGTTAAATTTTCAAGATGTTTATCTATATTTAACGTTACAGTTAAAAATAAAGCAACATCACATTATCATAAGACACAAAAATGTACCATATTGATGGTTGAAAACTGAAATATTGAATGTAAACAATCTTTACTGTTCTTCTAACTGTCAGACCATATATATTACATGGAGCATATACTATCATAAACTTTAAATTAAGAAGAACACTTGACTAAATTTCTATCGATGACAGTCAATATTACAAAATTATTTGCGTATAGACTGCAAAATATTGCTTTTAATTAAGATAAGCTGTTCATTGATGCATTCTTAGCTTGTAGACACTTAGGTAATGAATGCTGGACAGGGGAAAAAAGGTGTGTGTTCTGTGTGCTTATCCATATATTCTGCAAAATGAATATATTCAATTCTCAAAGTCATAAAATTTTCTCTTTCCAGCAACTCGGTTTAGTGGACGAACATCCTGAAAGGAAACAGATGTATACAATGAAAATTAAAAAAAAAATCTTTTAGGAATAACTGGTTATTAAACATAATACTACCGATTTAAGTTTGTTACTTAAAGATTAATAACCACTTGCCCCTCACCGCTGTGGGTTTGAATCTCGACAGGGACTTTGCATTTGTTCATGTGAGGAAGCTATCCAGCTAGCTTACGGAATGTCGGTGGTTCTACTTGGGTACCATTTCGTGCCGGAAATAATGCACGAAAGGGCACCTGAGGTATTCCTCCACCAGTAAAGCTGGAACTGATATACTGATGGCTGAAAATAACAAAGGGCAATAACTGAAAAATAATTCAGGGTAGAGTTATCATTCTTGTGTGCTTCACTCCTCCTCAATGAGATCTATCCACCTATGAAGTTTCAAGTTGATACCTCTAACACTTTTTCAGATAAGCTCCTAACTTAAAGTATGAAAAATAACAAAGGGCAATAACTCAAAAATTATAAAGGATAGAGTTATCAATCTTGCGTACAGCATGCCTCCACAATAGGGCAATAACTGGAAAATTATGCAAGGTAGTGCAGTCATTCTTGTGCGCTGCACTCCTCCTCAATTAGATCTCTCCACCTATGAAGTTTCAAGTTGATACCTGTTAAGCTCCGAACAAAAAGTATGAAAAAAAAAACCCACAAAAACAGTCTATGCGAAAGACTTCAGAGTTTTACTGGACAGTAGGTCCTGTAAACTGAAAATTTTTACTGGACCAAACATGATTTTACTGGACCGAAAAAAAAACCTGACTGGTATAGCATTTTGAGTCACTTGATAAGTGTCAGCAGTCAAAAAATTTGTGTACAAAAAGAAAATTATATTATCAACGAAGTGAAGTTATCTTTTTTCACCGCAATCAAATTGTAAACATAAATATTGTTATACATGTATTCAATGGATTTTGCTATTTAAACTTTAATTCCATACAGACTATATACTAGCAAAATGAGAGGGTAAATTTCAGCAACAGTCTGGCATAATGTATGTAAACATAATTATATATATCGGTAATTTAGTTAAGTTGACAGATTTAATAATTGTTCAATGATTTTGGCACCTTCACAGTATAGTTTAATTTTTGTCAACATCTTGGACGATCTTTCATATCCGTAATTGGCTGCTAAACACCAGTTGAGCACATGTGTAATTTAGCATTACTCTAAGTCTGTGGATTAAAGACATAAATTGTTTCAATTAATACACTGACACTTTGAACTGTGTAAACAAGCTAATAGCGGGTGACCTTTCACATCTGGGCCGCTTATGTAATTTACGCAGCCGCTTATTGACTTTTAATTGTACTAGTTGTCGGATATTTTTATCTTACCTTGTTACATAAATTAGTTTGCATTATGAGAATGCATAACAGTTGACAAGCATTGCATGAGCTTACATTATCTAATGACAACATTTTGAATTTAGGTAAATGATCGGCCTTTGCAAAATGTTGACTGTAAGGTTTTTATAAAACCTTAATTTTTTACCGGACCGTTGGGCCGTCAATACATATATTTTTATCGGACCTTCTGATTTTTTACCGGTCAGGGCCGACGGTCCGACGGTCTTTCGGAAAGACTGCAAAAAGCGCAATAACTCAAAAATTATAAAGGGTAGAGTTATCATTCTTGTGCACAGCATTCCTCCTTATTAGATCTATCCACCTATGAAGTTTCATGTCGTGACATCTCAAAGTTTTTTGAGTTATGCTCCATTTAGGAAAAAAATAAGTATGAAAAATAACAAAGGGCAATAACTCAAACATTATGAAGGGTAGAGTAATCATTCTTGTGCACTGCACACCTGAGATCTATCCACCTATAAAGTTTCATGTTGGCATCTCAAATGCTTTTCAGTTATGCTCTGGACAAATATTAAGTTTGAAAAATAACAAAGAGCAATAACTGAAAAAAAAATTGCAAGGTAGAGTTATCACTCTTGTGTGTTGCACTCCTCAATGAGATCTATCCACCTATGAAGTTTCAAGTTGATAACTCTAACACTTTCTGAGATAAGCTCCTAACAAAAAGAATGAAAAATAACAAAGGGCAATAACGCAAAAATTATAAAAGGTAGAGTTATCATTCTTACACAAATCATTCCTTCTCAATAAGATCTATCCACCTATGAAGTTTCATGTTGACATCTCAAAGACTTTTGAATTATGCTCCACTCAGGTGAAAAATTAAGAATGAAAAATACAAAACAAAGGGCAATAACTCAAAAATTATGAAGAGTTGACTTATCATTCTTGTGCACTGCACTCCTCCTGAGTGAGATCTATCCAGATAAGAAGTTTCATGTTGATATCTCAAAGGCTTTTTGAGTTATGCTCTGGACAAAAATTAAGTTTGAAAAATAACAAAGGGGAAATAACTGAAAAATTATACAGGGTAAAGTTATCATTCTTGAGCACTGCACTCCTCAATATAATCTCTCCACCTATGAAGTTTCAAGTTGATACCTCAAATACTTTTTGAGATATGCTCCGAACAAAAATGTGGGACAGACAGACAGACGGAGACTATTTCTATATCCCCACCGAAAAGATTGCAGGCTCTTTGGAAAGAAAATTTATCAGGAACAGGAGGTGTCAGAATACAGCTTGATGTGTTATAAAAATTTTATATTACAAACTTGAAATTGCCATAAAGATAATCAGATTAGGTATTTAAAAAACAAAATTGTTGTGGAATCAAAATCATTTATTCTGGCCGACCTTGACCTCAGTGACATCAAACTCTATATGGTTATAAAAGGTTTGTGCAAGTTACCAATCTAAACAGTTTCTAAGATGTCAGCCAATGAATGGAGAATATGAGAAACCAGTAGAAGTTAAATCTATTTTATATAATAACCACATTGACCATGACCATGGCTGTAGAGATTGTTAGAGGTTCATGTAAGGTATATTTATAGCAAATACTTAAATATCTTTTGATATATAAAGTCTTTATGGTGGAAAGTAGAAATAACCTATTTCAACTCTTTCCTAGTATGTGTAAGCCTATGTACAACAAAGGACCCTTGGATCATACTTTTAATAATCTTGGTACAACAATGCCAAATATCTATTCTTTAGGCTTAAATGTTCTTGATAAGAAAATTTTTCATATTTCTTTTTCAATTTATTGCCAAGACAACCAAAGTTCTTCAAATAATGTAATGACATATTTAAAGATCTAGGACACATGGCTTCATGCATTGGAAACATTTTTCCCACAATCAGTATTTTATGCTGTTTCCATAGTTTAAAGGAATATACCTTGTATTAAAATATATTTTTTAATATCTTGTAAAACAATGCAATAATGGATTGAAAGACTGATCTATTGCTTCCTTATATACACTGACTCTCATGTTTGTTTAAAATAAATCTTTACCAAAAATGTTGACGGAAGAAAAGAATATTAAAAAAAACAAACTTACTTGAAACATTCTTTTAGAACTGACAAACTGATTATCCATATCTGCAAACATCTCAGTCAGATTTGAACTACAGTAAATATTTGACATCTCATATGTAGATTGATTATCTGAAAAATAAATCAAAATAGCACATGACATAATTATCACTGTGAAAGGTATAACAGTCATGACATAAGAAGAGATTTTGTAAAACATGAATGTCCCCTTAGTCAGAATGTCCCCAAGTTGCATGCAATGTTGTTTGTACACTGTTAAGGCATACAAGGTCAAAGTGACCTTGATCTTTGAGCCCCCTCACCCAAAATTCGAAAGGGGTCCTCTACTGCACAAAACTAATGCACCTGTGAAGTTTGTTTGAGCACCAAGGGCTCATTGGTTGGCAAGTAATTGGTCAAAAAAACATAATGACACTCACGGTCAATGTAACCTTGACTTTTGTTCCTGAGACAAATGAGGCCTAAGGACCACTGAAATTGTTGATTTATTGTTCAAACACCATTTTGACATATAAGGTAAATGTGACCTTGACCATTGACCCTGCAACCCCAAAATCAATAGGGGTTATCTTTTATGCACCTATGAATATTTGCACTTTCCTTCATTTATAATTTAAGCCATCAGAGCCACAGATGAATAGCTCTCAATATGATTATCATCCTGCAAAAAAATGATCAAAATAGAAAAATACATGAACATTTACATGACTACTGTTCTACAGAACAATTTTTTAAATTGTCAAATCAAAAATGATTTGACAATTTGAACAAGATACCTGACATTACTTATATAAACAAAGAAAAATATACATATATTATAAATAGTCATATATAGAAAACGAGCCTGAACTTTTCTATAACAAACTAATAAGTAAAACTGTAAACCGATTGTTAAAAAGTAATGAAATACTGATAGTTGTACATAAAATCTATAAAATAATGTAAACTGAGAGCGAAAAAGACAGGTTAAGAAACAATTGACAGTTACTGAAAATTCACAGTTCCAATCTACAAATATTCTTGTTTACTTATCTATTTCTTTGAAAGTATTTCATTGATTAAATTTATTTGGAAATCTATTACTCTGAAAGTATTTCAATGTTTAAATCTTAGTGTCTCAAAAATGTAAAATACTGACTAAAGTCACCTCTTCTTTCTGTTGATCTCCTCTGAGCATGAACTTGTCTTTGAATAAATATATCCGTAACAGAAAGTGAGGGTGATGAGTTAACACTGCTGTCATCTGACTGTAAGATTAAATGATCTTATTGTAGATATTGCAAATGCATCAAACATTACAATTATATGAAGATGATAAACATGGCAAAAAATTGTATTCAACTCTTTACAAGAGGAAAATAACAACATAGATTTTCAATCTATCTGACTCCAACTCAATTTTGTACAGATAATAAATGAAATGTGAATATTTTGGCTACTACTGATTATTTTCTATGTCACAAAAAGTTTTCGAATGTCCAAAAACAGAATTTTTCGTGCTGAAATATTTGCCAAAGTACCCTTTCCGGAACTCCCGTAATACATATATTAGCAAGCTTGTGATAACATATTTTGTTTCATCGTAGTCATTTTAAAAAATCATCATACGCTGACAGTATTTGCATTTGAAAATCTATGAAAATGTCAATACGGTGAGAGGTTTTCATCGATTGTCACATGATAATACCTGTATGAAAATAATTCTTTTGTTTTTGGTGATGTTATTGACATTATGGTTACTTTTAATAAATATAACAAACACATAACAAATCTGTTAGTGAAATAGATCTTAGAACAATCGCAATCAAACCATTTCACGCTCATTGGTAAATGAAATCTGTTGAAAAATTATAAAAAAAAAAAAAAAAAATTGATGAGAGTCAGAGATGTCAAACAATCTTTTCTCAATTGTGGCATTTAGGTAGTGAGCGTTACAGAGCGTATAAATGTACTTAGTGAATTCCTACATAGTGTAGTGTGTAAAATATAGACATGCTTAATGAAGCATATTGTATTTCTTTAGAAATATTATGTAAATGTTCAGTTCGACAATTTATTAGGAGTCTTTTTTCGATATTATTTGTGTGAAATATTAAAAGAACACTAAATCATGTTATATGTTTGTTTGTATTTAGCGAGATGTTATTTTCTAACTAGATATATTTACTAAGTAGCCAGTACACCGGTGTAATAGTAAAATGATGAATGGCCACCAAAGACTTTTACTCAAGTTGATGTATCTTTTGCGGGCCCAATTATTTGCGAATAATTTTGATTTGCAAAAATTGCAAATATTTCCACATCGCAAAATTTACCACCTAAAAAGTATTAAGTTAGTGATCTCTTCATGAGCTATTTATTCTTCAACCTTCAGAACAGCTAGTCTACCTTGATCCTGTATCTTAGCAACATAGGGATTCTTACCAATTTTTGTTTATCTATTGATAAAAACATATTCAAATCAAGTAAACTAAGTGATCCAAGGATGACACCAGTTTTGACCCTCATTTTTGAATTACATATATATTTGTTTTAATGTATCTCTTTTAGAGGGACATATCATGCCAAATATCTAAACTCTACAGACTTTTAAGAAGATTTATAAATGTTTTCTAACATGCCTTAAGTGTATGTTTTTTTAAAGAAGTGACCTGCTAGTCAGAGTCAAGAGAAGAATGATTTATCTAATTTTTAAAGAGGGCCTTAATGTGATGCTATATGCTCACCTCTGAGCACTGTATGCTCAGCAAAATGCATAACTTGTCTTCAGTAAACAGGTATATCTGCACTTATTGATGAACAAACAAAACTTAAATAAATTTTGCCTCATTTAGGGGAAAACAAAATACAAACTTACTCTTGAATCAGAAGCTGCCAACCACCTGCCTTTGGTTTCACTGAAAGCAAAAATCATCACAAAGGTTAAAGTGTCAATATAATTTCTAAAGATGAAAATGATCTAAAATTTGCGCTTACATTTTGAAGATGGGTGACTTTATTGGTGAAAAATGCACATATTTTAATTTAGATAATTTTCTTCTATGTGGATTTGTAGAGGCCTTGAAACACTGTTCATGATGATTTAAGTGCTATAATTCCATGACACCAGGGGTGGGCCAATTTTGACCTCAGTAGAATGCTTTACACAATTGTTTGGAGACATCAATTAAAGAAAGAAACTGATACATGCCAATATTAAAGGAGCTTGATCATGCTGTTTCACACATGAAGACAAGGGTCAGTTTTTATCTAAGAGGCATACTTTGACCAAGGTTATTATGCAGGTTAAAATAATATTTCTATCAAAAATAAATCTTTTAACCAAAGGTATCTTCAGTCCTATTATAAAGCTTATAAATTGAAATTTTATGACCAAGACTAAACTTACTTGAAGATAAAAAATTAAATAGGAAGAAAAACCCACTGAATACACAGAAAGACAACAAGCCCCTGATGTGTGTGGGTATATAAAATCTGTCCTATGTGTTTTATTTAACATACCTATGACTATCTTTCTGTTTCATGGATGATGTACTTTTCTCCTGCACTCTAAACCCTGGTCCCATAGAAGTTTCATCATGAAAATCAAAGATATCCTTTCTGCTCAAATTACTACACACATTTTTGGTTTCAGAAGAATTTGTCCATTCTTTACTACCACCTGATGTTATTTTTTCTACATGTTCAATTTCATTACCATGACTTTTCTCATTCAAAACAGTCTTCTCTTTGTTCTGTTTCATTGTGTTTCTTTTACCTTTATTTACTTTCATCTTTTTTCTTCCTGTTTTCTTTGTATCAGCTTTTACCTTCTTGCCAGACTGCTTCCTTGTCTTCTTCCTATTCACATACTGCAGACATTTATTGTTCCCAGAGTCACTTATAACTGAACTGATATCACCCGATACTTGAGGCATGTTATTGATACCCACTGATCTATTTCTAAGCACTCTTGCATTCACATTTTGATTATCTACTGCATTTACTGTATTGGTGACTGGTGTAAAACTACTTGAGCAAACTAAATCTTCATTTGTCTGTTTTCGCTGTGGAAGTACTGTTGCTATAGGAGAGGGATTAGTTCTACCGAACAATGCCCTACTGTTCCATGAAGTCCCTTTTGGAGGACGAGGTGACAACAAGCCTGGGCCATTCTTAAACATGGATGTGAAGCTTTTCTTTGAACAAGAATTGTTTTCTAGTGTACCACTGCCATTTTGTTGGAGATTAAAAACGTTCTGTAAAATGTAATTTACTGCATTCTCAGCATCATTCTTCGAGTTATTTTCTTTCTCCTGTGTTTCCTTATTCTTCTTTTGAATTTCAATTTCAGCTTCAAGTCTTTTTATCTCAGCCTGGTGATAATTGTGTAAATCATCTAATTTATCTTGTACAACTTTAGGAACAGTTTCATTCTGCCAGGGTCTTTTGTCTTCATTTCTAAGAGAATGTTCAATCTCTTTTAGGCAGTTTATGTTTTCTTTCTTTTGTCCAGCTTTGAAATCTTTCAAGGAGTCACATATTTCTTTATGGATTCTTTTTTGTTGTCTACCATAGGTATCCTAAAACAAAATATACATGTAAGAAGGTGAAAAAATAGCAATAAAATAATATCAATGATCATAACAAAGTAATCCTATGTTTTCCTAGATTACCAATGCAAGAAATCATGGTAGATGAGGTCAGGTCAAATTAAATTAATTTCATATACAGTCAAACGTAAGGGAAACTTATAATAAAGCATGATAAAAAAGTCAAAATTTATACATGACATCTTTCTTTTTCGGTGGGAATGTTTTTCAACTTCATTAATTATATAATGTATAATAATTAGAACGTTCTGATCATCTAAATGGATGCTAATATAAAAAATAACTTTCTGATATTTATTGAAAAACAGTTTTGATCCATTACGTACATGTCTGACATTTTTCCAGAATTTTTAAAGTTCTCCGTTGTTTTTCCTTGTCTACCACACAAAAACCCTAATAAGTGAAGATGCTTTTTGTTGTGCATTTTCATTTGAAATAAAGCAACTACATCTAATAGTAATAATTAAATTAATTGCTGATCAAGTTCAAGGTCAATTCAATGCAGTCTAAATATCAACAGCGAAGCGTATACACCATCTCAGTAGGGGCAGAGGGTTGCATTGTTTTATTGATATTGTTGGATAATACATGTCACGCGTATACTTTACTTCATTTGCATATGCTAAAACGGTTTGGGAAATAGAATTTTTCACACATTTATATATTGTGTTTTGATTGTTGACACTTGTGACATCACGAGGCGGAGTTCTCTAAAAACACAATTACTAAGTGACAGGTAAAAGTGGTCGTTTAATGAAAAGATTGATCTCAATTAGTTGACTAATTAGCGGTCTCTGGTCGCGTTGAGCAAAAGTCTCTTTATACATTATAAAGATATAGAGAGAAAATGATCGGGGGGAATTTTAAGTGGTCGTTTAAGACAAAAGTCGCTTAATACACATGGTCGCATGGGCAAGTTAGACTGTATAAATATATGTAGAATTAAATGACCACTGAAATTGAAATAATTCAAGCGCTGTTTCTTCCTATCTTCCTATGTAAGTAATTATATAAAACCAATCCTAAGAGTACCTTGACAATGGGCTAAAATTGACACAAATACACAGTAACTTGTTATCTCATCATCTTTCATACACTAACATACTGTTTCCAATAAAGTAAAACAACATATGTTAAATAATGCTTATATTCTCCAAAGTACCACAAAACATGAATTTGTAACAGAGTTACCAACGTCCCCCGCCTTGGGGAAGTTTTATATGAAGCGTAAAATTGTGCTATTTCAAAAGATTGAGGTATGGAGTCCAAAATTATGATCAATGCTTTATCTGCAAATGCAACAATAAATTTATGAAAGAAATAATAATGAAACACGATATTTAAAAATCTATCATGTTAAGTTTTGACCTCTAAGTGTGACCTTGACCTTGGAGGTAGGGATGCAGGTGTTGTGCATGACATATCGTCTTATTATTGTAACTATTTGTGCCAAGTATTTTCAAAATTCCTTGAACTATGACGAAGTTATAGATCAGACGCAAAATATACCCTATGACAGACTATGTTAATCTTTGACGTCTAAGTGCGACCTTGGAGGTAGGGACCCATGTTTTGTGCCTGACATATCGTCTTATTATCGTGATTATTTGTGCAAAGTATTTTTAAAATCCCTTGATCTATGAAAAAAGTATGGACTGGACACAAAATATACACTATAACAGACTATGTAAATCTTTGACCTCTAAGTGTGATCTTGACCTTGGAGGTAAGGACACAGGTGTTACACATGACGTATTATCTTATCACTGTGACTATTTGTGCCTAGCAGTGTTCGAAATTAGCAGTAGTCCTATAGCCCCTGACTACTAAATTTCTCCTCGGGCTACCAACTTGTCACTGTAACAAGCCCGACCAGGCTACTGTATTTTCAGAGGCAATATAAACAACTGTTTTGAACAAATGAATTATGCTAGTGAAATGTATTTTGGGCTAGTGAATATTCCAATCTGGTAGTCCGACCAGCCTAGTGGATTCAAATCCTAATTTCTTACACTGGCCTAGTATATTCAAAATCCCTTGATCTATGAAGAAGTTACGTACGGGACACAAAATATACCATATAACAGATTCTGTTAACATTTGACCTCTAAGTGTGACCTTGACCTTGGAGGTAGAGGTGCAGGTGTTGTACTTGACATATCCTCTTATTATTATGACAATTTGTTCCATAATCAGGAAGAAGTTCTAGATCGGACACAAAATATACCCTAAAACAGACTATGTTAATTTTTTACCTCTAAGTGTGACCTTGAACTTGGAGGTAGGAATGCAGGTGTTAAACATGACACATCATCTTATTATAGTGACTATTTGTGGCAAGTATTTACAAAATCCTTTGATCTATGAAAAAGTTATGGACTGGACACAAAATATACCTTTTAACAGACTATGTTAATCTTTGACCTCCAAATGTGACCTTGACCTTGGAGGTAGGTGACCGATTATTGCGCATGATACATTGTCTCATTATTGTGAACAATTGTGGCAAGTATTTACAAAATCCCTTCAAAGATAAGAAAGTTATAGACCGGACACGACATATACCCTCAAACAGACAATGTTGGCCTTGAATGAGCAAGTGCAACCTTGACCCTAGAGGTAGGGGTCTGAATGTTGTGCACGACACATTGTCTTATTATAACAAACATTTGTGCCAAGTTATTTCAGATTCCTTTGATAAATGACAAAGTTATGGACCGGACACGAAAGTGTGACAGACGGATGGACGGACAGAGCCTATTTCTATATCCCCCTTTTTTCTTCGAAAAGGCGGGGGACAACAAAGATAACCAAATTAGTTTTAGTTTCATCCATGGCTTAAAAAAAGAATGTTTAAACAATTGTTAAACCTGAGTCTCCTTTAGAATTTGTTTTGTCTGTTCTGTAGTCTGGAATTGTATGTAATTTTCTATATCTCTTTGCTGAGATTTACAGAAGGCTTTCAAGTCTGACTGCCATTTGCCAATAATTTCATCACTCTTGTGTGGAACTTGTCTCAATCCCTGCATCATACCTGCAAACATTATATCAAAAACTGTCAGAGGAGATAACCAGAGTATTCCCAAGTAAATACCCCAAGTCATGGCCGAGTGGTTAACACGTTGAACTAACAATCTAATGATTGCTAGCTGCATGGGTTTGTTTCCTTGAGCAAGAAACTTACTCAGTACTGAACGGATTCGTAAAGTGTGTCTATAAGCTTATAGCTTCCTACACAATCCAACTAAAATAAATTTCTATATAAACAAAGTCCTTTGGAGACAGATATTGCATTTTAAACATTAAGGGACTCCACTGAGGTTATCTTTTTACATAAAGGGATTGGAAATAATTTTTTTTTCAAGGCTTGGGTACCATTTGATGTAGGTTTGGACTTATAACTTGTGACAGTGTGCATATTTACAGATGATTTTCTAACTTTTTTTCCCCAGAAAAATTGTTTATATTGTGCCAAATGACAAAAAATTGCAACGTTTTTCACTCACATACCATACTAAAAATGGTAAAAAAAAAAAAAAAAATTCCATGTCCACACTGAATAGATTTCTTTTGCAGATTTTTTTCCATTTCAAGTGCATCATTTGATTCTATGTACAGGTTTAAAATTGTATGTTTTTTAGGCACTTTGTCCTCAGTGGAGCTCCTTCAGATACATTCCCAATTGGTCATAAAATTCAGTTAAAATTTATTTTAAGTTTGATGCTCAAAGACAGTGTGAAGTCATTCAAGTGAATGTTTTATGTGACCTATCAGATATGAATTTGTTTGCAAGATCTAAACCAAGTTCTATGCTGAGTCACAAGTAAACAGGACAGTCAAACTATTCTTTAAATAGTTATGATATGCGTTATTACAAATATTTCTTAGCTACTAAACCAAACTAAACCAAACTTCATATTATGATTTAATATGGAGATAAACAACTCATTCAAAAATTTGCAAACAGAAAATTCACAGAACAAGAGAACAAAACCTTTTTTCACACAATTTTACTTTAAAACAACTTAATTTGCTCCATGAAAAGAAACAAAAGGTGTGCATTCTTATGTTCTAGAAAGAAAAATAATGTACTTGGTATACAAGCTCTGAGATCTTACCTCTTTCAACATGTTGCTCAAGTGCAATTAAATGATCCGTATGAGCAGTGAGAATCTGATTTTTAAAGAAATCTTCAAAATCACATCTTTGGCGATCTAGGTCTTTCCTTATTCTACTAAGTTCATCAAGAAGCCTGACAAAAGAATATATTGGAACAAAGATTAGATTCTTATACATGTATATTTATTAATGCCAAATTTTATATATTACACTTAAAACTAGAGGTATCACTAATTTCTAAATGTGATTAATATCGCAAGACTGCTTCGGAAATGAGGAAGTTACTAGTAACAGAATACCTTGTAAAAAAACTGAAATAGAGTTAGGGTTGAGGGCAATTAGAGTTATGGTTGTGGGCAATTAAAGATAGTTGTGGTTCTTATATGCTGTATTTCCTTTCACTGTGGTTGACCATTGATACAGTTTTATTGAATTACTCTGTAATAAGTCATGATAGAGTTACGGTTCTTGAGCACTGTACTTCCTCTCATTGCACTTAACCATTGTATGAAGTTGCATTGAATTCCAACCATTAATTTTCCAAGGTATGCACTGGGCAATAAAATGAAACAAAGGGCAAAAAATCTAAAATGAGTCAAGAAAGAGTTATGATTCCTATGCATTGCGCTTCCTCTCAATATACTTAACCATTGTACAAACTTGTATTGAATTCCAACCTGTACATTCCATGTTATGCTCTGCGACAAGGAAAAGAAACAAACGGCAATCACTCTATAAATACTCTGGATATAGTTATGGTTCTTGTGCACTGCACTTTCTCATATTGTGCTTGACCATTGTATGAAGTTGTTTTGAATTCCAACCAGTAGTTATAAAGTTATGCTCCGGAAAAGGGAAAGTAACAAAGGGCAATAACTCTGTAATTAGTCAAAATGGAGTTATGGTTCTTGTGCACTGCACTTCCTCTCAATGTGCTTGATCATTGTATGAAGTTTTATTGACTTCCAGCCATAAGTCTTCAAGTTTTGCCCTGGACAAAGAAAATGCAACAGACCACTGGACCGACAGACCACTGGGCGACTCCTATATATCCCCAAAAACTTTGTTTCGGGGGTATAATGAGATTCAATTGAATATTTGAGCAACAGTACAAAAACAAGAAATGTGTTAAAATATTTTTTTTTTTCAGGATTCGTTACTGTCAGGTAAAACATATTGCTGAACTGTATCAAGATACATAAATAGATGTTTATCCACTTTGAAATTGAAAAGCTATCATTGGTTCATAATCAAGTCATAATAAGGAATTTTTACTAAATAAAGAAATAAAATTAAAATAGTTATAGGAAAAAAAATTGTTTAACAAAAAAACAACTAAACCTTTTCTCAACCGCCTGAGATTGCTGAGCATTAGCGTATTTGACATCTTTGTAATTTTTACTATTTACTTCATAAAAAAGCCTGTGACTGTTTCCTAGTTCTTCTGTTACTTTAAGCTGCTCTTGTGTACTTTCCTGGATTTTCTAATAACACATATATGAAGGTTTGAATTTTAACAATCCTCGCTAAAAATGAATAATACATTTTATCCACCTATGAATTGAGAAAAGTTATTCAAGATATTTGTTCCATCTACCGATTTTCAGGGAGATTGGTCTATACCATGTTTGTAAAACTAAAATTCAGCCAACTTGAATTTCAGAACAATCATTGACTTTGTATCCCAAACTCATGTTTTATTGAAAATAAGGACCTTTAGAAAAAAAAATATAGCATCAGAGGCAGGAACACAATTTCATACTGATTACTACCAAAATGTTTTTCAAAGTGAAAATATTGACATGTTTTCATTAATCAAATGTATTCCATACTGAACTTATTTATGTACATTTTACACTATTGTTTTCTGTATGAAGACAAGTCACTCTGGTACTCTTTGTTGAGCTTGTATTTTCTTTCAGAGATATTTCAAAGGAATTTAAGTCCTCAATTTTTCTGACAGCAAATAAATTTTTGAGAGATGAAAAAACATCAGAAAATAACCTGCTTAAGAACGTTTTCGGGAGTTTTCATACAGACAATATTATAGGCAAAATTAAAACTGTTCAATAGAATTTCTTTAAACTTGGCATGTTGTTAGATTATAATAACAGAAACATTTAAACAGAAAAAAAATTGGGGTCACCGTTCTCATTTTTGAGTTATCTGCCTTTGAATTGGACTTTTTCGTTAAATTCAAGGGCAGATAATTTACAACAAAGGGAAAAAAATAACAACTTTTTTTTCTTATTTTCATAAAGCTTACCTTTGTTTTAGTTGATATACAAAATTTCAAGAATGAATTTAGAGTGGATAGGTTTTTTTTCCACTTCTTTTAACAATGTGCATTTTTTCTTAAAAAATGGCCTATTTTTAAGTACCTTTATTTTCATTGAAAAAAATTAACAGGAGCAATATAAGCATGTTATTATGTATTGTACTCAACAATAAAAAGAAAAACATTATCCAGGAGTAAAAACTAGAATTCATTTAAGTATGTATAAATTTAAAACTGCCCTTAAAATGACCTCAAATAAGTAGAAAATTCTGATTCAGGGGCAGATAACTAAAAAATGAGAACGGTGACCCCAATTTTTTTTCCGCTTAAAATGTTGCTGTTATCATATTCTAACAACATGCCAAGTTTAGATAAAATCTATTTAACAGTTTTCATTTTGTCTATGTCTTTACGAAAACGTTCTTAATCTCATTATTGCAACTTATTACACATACATATTATACATATTTCATTATGATGACAGGACTGCTTAGGACAAACCTTTAGCTGTCTACAGTATAAATGCAAGGGGACTGATAACTGAAGGAAGGGTAAATTAAATAACTGCATGTAATACCATTCATAAAAGAATCTTACAAGTATTTTCAGTTCAGTTTCAGACTGTTGATCCAAGATAAATGTTTTCAAAGAATCAAGCATACTGCGTAAATCTCCATCACAATTTTGTTTCATCTGTAACAACTCCTGAATTCTTTCATCTCTCTGCATTTATTAAATAAAAAATAACAGTTATTAAGCAACATAGCATTACAAATATAAAGCCTTTATGCACATCAACAATACATGGGTATCAAATAACAAATATCAACGATACACCGATTCATCAATAATTACTTGTCTGTCATTCACTTTAAATGATTTCACTAAAATACATGTTCTGTTCAGTGTCTTGTTTATAAATGCCCATTGCATGATGATTTTCCTGGCCATTTTTTTTTCGTCATCATTGCTATGAAATATTTCCACTATGAAACATTACAACAGCATAGACACAGATGTCCGATTCCTTTAATGTTTTAGGTGAATTTTCATAATTTCTAAACATCTAATTAATTAGTCAAAATCATTGATTTTATGAAATGTGTATTGATTATTGATCAACAGAAAAATATCAATGATACATTGACATTGTTTCTATTGATGACAGCTCTACCTCTATGCCTAATATGGTTTCTGAAAGAGATTTTTAAGAATTTTTCTTTATAAATCTTTGTAAAAACAAGGGAAGGTTAAGACAAATGATAAATTTCTAATTTCAGAAAGAAAAGAATCATTTACCTGTTCAAGTTTTCTCTGTAGGGATGAAATAATACTTGAGTGTTCATCCTTCACTTCTATTGCTTTCAGAATATTTTTACTTGATTCTTGCAAGGACTCTGAAACTATATCATGAAAGGTATTTGTAAAGTAGAGCATTACATGTGCAACAAGACTTCACCAATGTTATCAAGGGTAGGCAAGATGAAAACCATCAAGGCATCCAATCTGTTGTTTGTGGATAGATTATAGACTACTTCCGCTCTTCAAAATGTATCTTTTACAATTTTGTAAAGGTAGGCATAAAAAACGAACTGGACATAATGACCCTTCATCTCTCACAAGAGTAATTAATGCTGGAATTAAATTTCAAACTTTATCTTTAATAGTTTCAGACCATTTTTTAGAACCTTTCATAAAATTTTCTACATTTACAAAAGGACACAATTTGTCACATTGCAATGAGTTGTGAAACCAGGGCCGGCAAAATCTGATTTTGACTTACTTGTCCGTTTTTATGTGAAACATTTTTTAACTTGTTCGTATGATATTAACATTGTTTATTCCTGAAAATTTTCACTTGTTCGTACAGGCTGTGGGACAACCTGGGCAATACGGACAATTGATTTTGCCGGCCCTGGAAACATGACAATGCTGATCTTAATGACCCTGCATATATATAAATTTCCGGAATAAGTTTCCAGACATAAAATTCCAGACAATTTCTGGGTTAAAAAGGCACATTACAAAGTCAAAATACATAAATTTTCAAGTTAGGAAACTTTCCCTGCTTCAGTGATCTGTCATATATCAAGTTAGAAATTAATGCCTGTACTGGTTTCAGAGATATTTAAGTAAATGTAAAATTTCAGGACATTTTCTTGGTAAAAAAAGGGGGGCTTAACATTGTGAAATGTAACAAACAGTTATGAAACTGAATTGCCAACTGAGCAATTTAGTGATTTTATTTGCATAGAATAAACATACATGCTCTAATAGATGACTGCAAAACATCTGCATTATCTGCTCCATTTGAACTTATACTTTTCATGCTTTGTTTCACCTGAAAATATAACATTGAAACTAGTCAATAAAAACCATCAACAAAAATCCTGTCAAATTTCAACATATTGAGAAACTTTAACTATCAAATTTAGATTTTAACCCTAACCCTACTTGACTCAAATAGTCTTTGCCTGAAGCATAGAGAAAGGCAAGCCTGCTTATCACTGCACTCTATGATTGGCTGATTGACTTCAAATTTTCATCTTGATATCCCCAAAATTGATAATGGACACTTCTAAAAATGGAAGCTAAGGAAAAGTTAATTTACAAAATTCAGCAGGTTAATAAGTAATAGAAAGAGCACCGAAACACGAGGCTATCTGATTTGTACGAGGGGGCGTAGCCCCCCCCCCCCCTGTATAAATCAGATTGCCGAGTGTTTTGGTGTTCTTTCTCTTTTGTATCATAGTCAAACATAAAAACACGTTCCCTGTTGTCACATTTTTAAACCCCGGGAAAAAGTAACCAATGATCGAGCATCTGAATATGATATTTCTGCCACTTTCCCTTCTCTGCCGTCACAATATGGAAACCCCAGCAAAAATGAGCCAATCAACGGGCATGACCTGGAGTGCGGGTAACTGATACCTGCACTCCAGTTACCGCACTGTGCATGTATATGTATACGATTTAACTCTGACACTTTTTCAAAGAAAGGTCCCCAAACTATGATACAAGGGTTAATATGTATGAACTAAAGTAGAAGAACTGAAAGAATACATCTTAAACACAGAGTAATATAATGTAATTTGGTTGTGGCATGGCAATTATGATAGTTTGATATGACCCTTGTCATAAGAAAAAGACTTTATTATCAATATTAAAAACTTACCTCCTCAGTGCATTCCTTAACCATACACACTATACTGTTAAGCAAGTCCCTGTAATTAGAAGAAAGAAAATATCAATAAATCCTTGTGAAACAATTTACTGACAAGTTGTTTTAAAAAGATAAGACCTACAATTGAAATTTGCTTTGACATTGCTCCAAATCAATGTGAGGTAGGGCTGTCACTGATCAAAATTTTGTATCGATATATTGAGAGACAAATATCAACGATCTATCGATATAACAACTTTGACAGTAGATACAATGCAAAATATGTATTATAAATTAGAATCATGGTGTTTTCCATGCTTGTATTAGACATAACAAGAGCGATCAGTGATCACATGTGTCGCCTCATAATGGCCAATTTCATGTTCGGACAAGTTTTGTGACAGACGGACAGTGCACAACTAGACTTGGTACTGATCATTCCTGTAAAGTTTGGATGAAATTGCACCAGTAGTTTATGAGGAGTAGTGGGGACAAACTTTTGTGTATCTGGCAACACATAGAAAAAAACACCTTTTTATCAAAGGGCCATAACTCAGCCAAACATCATTCAACCGGAAAACCCGTGCAATATGCGCAAGGACTTGAGCTACAGATCAATCCTGTAAAGTTTCATTGAAATTGCATTAGTGGTATAAGAGAACTAGTCCGGACAAACTTTAAAAATAAAAATTATTAAAGGGCCATAACTCTGACAAAAATCATTGAACCGGAAAATTCTGATAATATGCACAACTAGACTTGGTACTGATCATTCCTGTAAAGTTTGGATGAAATTGCACCAGTAGTTTATGAGGAGTAGTCCGGACAAGCTTTTGTGTATCTGGCAACACACAGAAAAAAACACCTTTTTATCAAAGGGCCATAACTCGGCCAAAAATCATTCAACCGGAAAACCCGTGCAATATGCACAAAGACTTGAGCTACAGATCAATCCTGTAAAGTTTCATTGAAATTGCATTAGTGGTATAAGAGAAGTAGTCCGGACAAACTTTAAAAATAAAAATTATTAAAGGGCCATATTTCTGACAAAAATCATTGAACCGGAAAATGCTGACAATATGCACAACTAGACTTGGTACTGATCATTCCTGTAAAGTTTGGATGAAATTGCACCAGTAGTTTATGAAGAGTAGTGGGGACAAGCTTTTGTGTATCTGGCAACACACAGAAAAAAACACCTTTTTATCAAAGGGCCATAACTCGGCCAAAAATCATTCAACCGGAAAACCCGTGCAATATGCGCAAGGACTTGAGTTACAGATAAATCCTGTAAAGTTTCATTGAAATTGCATTAGTGGTATAAGAGAACTAGTCCGGACAAACTTTAAAAATAAAAATTATTAAAGGGCCATAACTCTGACAAAAATCATTGAACCGGAAAATTCTGATAATATGCACAACTAGACTTGGTACTGATCATTCCTGTAAAGTTTGGATGAAATTGCACCAGTAGTTTATGAGGAGTAGTCCGGACAAGCTTTTGTGTATCTGGCAACACACAGAAAAAAACACCTTTTTTATCAAAGGGCCATAACTCGGCCAAAAATCATTCAACCGGAAAACCCGTGCAATATGCGCAAGGACTTGAGCTACAGATCAATCCTGTAAAATTTCATTGAAATTGCATTAGTGGTATAAGAGAAGTAGTCCGGACAAACTTTAAAAATAAAAATTATTAAAGGGCCATAACTCTGACAAAAATCATTGAACCGGAAAATGCTGACAATATGCACAACTAGACTTGGTACTGATCATTCCTGTAAAGTTTGGATGAAATTGCACCAGTAGTTTATGAGGAGTAGTCCGGACAAGTTTTGTGACGGACAGACAGAGACAGACAGACGGAGAAGTGATCCCTATATGTCGCCACTACTCCGTAGAGGCGACACAATAAAAACACCACAAACTAAGTTTGTTTTTTTCCTGCTTTTTTTGTCACTGACATTTGAAAACCGAGTTTAAAGTTCAAGTTAGCCAAGAAAACTGAAAAAGTGACTTCTCTTATTTGGCAAAATAGAGAGGTATATTCACAAAAAGATATAAATAAATTTAAGCTTGTATTGATATTTGAAAGTATGAATTGATATTGTATCGGATGATGAATATCAATGATTTATAGATATTGCGATAAGATTCAAGTCAAATTAAAAACCAATATTATTAACAAATTGTCTTAGTTGGAAACAAAACTAAGACAAAAAACTGCACCTTATCTTACAACTGCCTTGTGATGAAAATTAAGTATTCCAAGTTTCATGTTGACATCTTGATAGATTTCAAATCATTCTACTCAAAAAGCAATTTTGACAAAATTTCTAAGTTAAAAAAGGGGCATAACTCCAGAATAATGGCCAATTGTCTTACAACTGTGCCTTGTCATGGGCTACATCAAAAATCTTAATACAATGACCCGGGAAACATATAGTTCGACTTCTACTTTGAGTTAGTTTATGCATATTTATTATTTAAAGAAAAAAGAACAAAAACCTTTTTATGAGTTTACCTTTCATCTCTCTCTTTTGACTTAATCTTCTGTTTGGAAAGTTGTTGGGCATCATAAGATGCTAAAATGTTTGATCTGGTAGCATTTCTTATTTGATTCTCTTCTGGCTCTGTCCTGCTCAGCGCAGATATCCTACTCTGACTTTGATTTCGGAACAATGATGGTTTAAGTGGCATGTACTTGTCTATTGCAGGAGCTCTGATGCTTTGTGACTTAGGAAGACAGAAAAAATATTAGTTAAAACTACAAATAATCATAAATGCCTTTTCAACTATTTAATGTGAAATTATTTTCTGCTGAGGTTCAATCATCAGTAATTAAAACAGAGTGGTCATGACAACCTTAGTAAGAAATTAAGAATTAAGTTCTTTACCTTTAAACATTCAGATTAAATATTCACGTTTATATTAAATGGTTGCAGAGAATTCCATATTGAAAAACTCAGATTATTTCTCATTTGTTTTTAATTTTTAAGTTTTAACTACAAAGTTTCTTTCATTCAATAAAAGCAATAACCATATGTAGTTTGAATGCTTTGTACTCCAGTTGTACAGCAGATATGGTTTTCACATGCAATGACTATATGTGACATTAACTCTACATAGCTAAAAACTTAAAGGGGTTTTCCACTGAATGCTAAGAGGCTCTGTGTTGAATGATACACTAGTTATTGAGCAGAAAAAAAGGTGCTGTATCAGATGATAATCCACCAAACCAGGCAACTATCATTTACCAAACAATATACCCCTCTTCTTCAAACACAATCAAATGTTGAGCCAAAATGTAAAATAATGAGAAAAACCTAACCGGAACTCCTAGGATTTTTAAATTACTTTTCTATGCAACTGCGTCAAATAAATTTGCAATGCATGGACACCTGTATTCCCCATTATGCTTTGAAATAATAAACTTGTTTACCTGAGAATTAGAGCTTACTGAATTCTGCTCTTGAGAAAAGAAATCCTGAGAATGGGGCTGTGACATGTCAAACTGTGTGAACTGAACATGCTGAAGTTGGGAAAAGTCATTTTGGTGACTTTGCTCTTGTATACTGAAAATTAAAAAATAAAAAGATACAATATGCATCCTTAATTATGCATAGATCCCTGATCCGTGTCTTATTCTAATTATCAGATTAGTGGATACAACAAGAATTTCACCGCAACATACTCCTTATCAAAAGAGCACATGTCAATGTTTGTGGAGAAATCTATTGTTATTCAAATTAAAGGTCACACTAGGGATCATCTATGTGATGTTTGCTGACAATAAAGAATGCATTGAGTATTCTAACAAGAGCAAGGTTTGAGAAGCAAAACAGGAAGCCGCTGAATGTATCATATTAGCAACAGTTAGTGATGAGGAAAGTTTGTTTGTTGGGTTTTAAGTCACAACGACACTGTAGTGGTCATATGGTGACTTTCAAGCATAATGGGTAGAGAAAGCCCTCAGGTGCCTGACTTAGTGCATTGTTAATGGCACAAGCAGTAACTAACTTACTTGAGCAGAACCACTGATCTACCAGATGGGGAGAATACCTCCACTTCTGCAAAAATGGGCTGAATTAAAGATACATTTACTGACAACAAAAGCACATAGCCTATATACTAGAATCTGAAAAAAGATACACTGGACTACATGTATGTAACATTTATGTAATGACTTTGAAATTATAAACCAAATAATATTATACATGTAAATACAAATCAATGTTAAATCAGGTACAATGTCCATCTATTCTTTTAAATACTGGTGCAAAAATGAAATAAAAGACACAAATAAGAAAGAAAAAAGAAAACAAAATATTTTTAATATTCAAAAGAACAGATAAAAAAATACATTACAAAAAAAGGACAATTAGATAAAACATTACCAAAAAGAATAAAATTAACAAATATATGGTATTAAAAAATGCAGTGTTTAAAGCTTTAAAAGAGAGAAATTCACAAATATACAATGTACATACATTGTAACTGTTGTTAATTCATTCAATAATAATGCAAAATAACCCTTTATTTATGTTTCCCCAAGTCAGTAAGTACCATATGACCAAATTGTTATCATATCACAGTACATTTACAAGTTTTCAAAATTTCTAGAAAAACTAATAGCATGGCTCTTTAATTTTAAAGTGGATGCTACTGTATTGGAAATAAATGTCTTATTTAAGAATATTTGATCAATATATCATTAACTACCATTCAGAAATTTATTATTTGAATCTCACCTCTGACTCCCACTGAATAGTTCTCGGGTAACTATTTGATTAGGAAACATTTCACGTCTTGAAAGTGTCTTGTCTGAAAAAGATAAGAAGACTGTGATGGCCCTTATATTGCTCACTCAAGGTAAGATTGAGCACACCTTCTGGGGGTATTTTTACCATATCACCTGGGGCTAATAAAAAGCCCATTCCCACTCAAAAATAAGCCTATGCCTAAAAAAAAGCAAAAAGAGTAGCTGAAAAGTAAACTAGAAATGTGTCCATAGAACACAGTTTCCCCAACATTTCACTGTTTTGTCAATCTACTGACTCTAGGTCAAATTTTTTGGGCTACACATGACACAAGTTTATAGCTGAAAATCTTTTACTTAGTCAATGACAAAACTCTACAAATACTGAATAAATCCACAAGCCTACTGGGATCCTACATGTTTACCGGACAATCAGTTTACCGGACAAAATCTATTCCTGCCAAGTAAGGCTTTATTTTTGCTTTGATTAAAAAATCATATGGTCTGAATCGTACACACACTTTCTATTTCGAAGTAAATAACAACAAAACCACTCTCAGGCAAATATTGTTGATTCAGTTCTTTATTAACTAACATACCCTTTTGTTTACTAGTTATTCCATGACCTGGTCATGCGGGGGAATAATCTGTTCTGCGCATTCCCGAATATTGAGGCCCTAAATGGGTTATTTTAGATAGGTTTTACTTTTAATTCTTCTCAACAGACAATCGTCACATATTTTAATGATAAAAAGTAATTCTAAATTTCGTTCAAACAATATCTCGTTGTTGTCTTTTACAAAGAAATGCAAATTAAAAACATATAAGGAAACGGAACGCCCATGGGAGGAAACTCTACATGAAATGTACAAAAAAGAGATTTTATGGTTTTTGCAACATGCTACATGACGACCAAAAGGAAACTGTATGAGAAAGAACAGAATTCCATTTGAAAATGAAAATGTGTCATACGTTTAAGGATCATGAAGAATCAATATGTTAATTGAGTTAAAAGTGTTAATTTCAATTACACCCCTATATTGGCCTCTACGTTACAAGCATGGCTGCCGTGTCTATTTTAATGACACACTGTTTTTTTTTCCAGTATCTTAACATTGCCATTCAATAGTCGTAGTTTCCTTGCTTAATTTCAATTTATTATCAGACTTTAAAAACTAGAAATGTGTCATCATGCCACGGATGCCCCCGCATGCAGCCAAAATTTCAGATGGTGCATTAATTATTTTTTTCATTTTAAGTTCAAAGCCCTTAAAACTTTTCAATGTTAACACAAACCATTTTCATACAATGTTCAAGGCACTGAAATTATTCAGTCTAAACCTTTTAAAAATAGCATATTGCATATTTGTAGCCAAAATAATGGCTAAAAGTAAGAGTGCTGAAACTGAAAGTTCAAAATTTTTCCAACATTCAGGAAAGATAAGTTTGTCTTAAATCATTGAACTACAACCAAATTCAAACTTAAACTGCTTATTCCTAAGATGTATCTATATTATTTTCAAAGTGAAAGGGACATAACTCTGCCAAAAAATCATCAAACCATGACCAAATTCCAACTTGACCTGCCCATTTGTTTGACATATCCATATGTCAAATTTAAGTTGAATATGTAACACTGTTGGGTAGATAATGAACAGAAACTGTAAATTTCATATTATTTTCAAAGTAAAAGGGGCATTACTCTGCCAAAAATCATTGAACCATGACCAAACTCGAACTTGGCCTGGGCATTCCAAAAACATATCCATATGTCAAATTTGAGTTGAATGTGTTGCACCATTGGGGAGATAATAAACGGAAAATGAAAATTTCATATTACTTTCAAAGTGAAAGGGGCATAACTCTGACATTAATCATTGAACCATGACCAAATTTGAACTTGACCTGCACATTCCTTTGACGTATCAATATGTCAAGTTTGAGTTGAATGTGTTGTACCTTTGGGGAGATAATGAACGGAAACTGAAAATTTCATATTATTTTCAAAGTAAAAGGGGCATAACTCTGCCAAAAATCATCGAACCACGACCAAATTCGAACTTGACCTGTATTTTCTCATGACATATCCATATGTCAAGTTTGAGTTGAATGTGTTGTACCGTTGGGGAGATAATGAACGGAAACTGAAAATTTCATATTATTTTCAAAGTAAAAGGGGCATAACTCTGCCAAAAATCATCGAACCATGACCAAATTCGAACTTGACCTGTATTTTCTCATGACATATCCATATGTCAAATTTGAGTTGAATGTGTGCAACCGTTCTTAAGATAATGAACGGAAACTGATGATGACGGAATGACAGAATGACGGAAGGACGGAAGGACGGAAGGACGGAAGGATGGAAGGACGGAAGGACGGAAGGACGGAATGACGGAACAGGGTAACACTATATGCCCCGGCCATTACATGGCGGGGGCATAAAAATTGAAACACAATCTCTGAATGTCCGGTAAATTGAGTTGTCTACACGATTTTTTCCCTCTTTTAATGTCCTACTTTAAAGACACATCTCTACGGTCAAATGTTTAATTTTATGTTTGATAAAGGAATGTTTAGGTATATTAAGAACCCACAATTATTTGGGTAAAAGTTCATTCCTTTTTATTATTTTAATTAAAAGTTACAGCGAAAAAACATCATATTTTGTCCGGTAATATGTAGGATCCCAGTAAGGTGCATAACTACACATGCTGACCTGAACATTCTTGTATACTACGAGTCAAATACTTTTTGAGCTATGCATAAACAAGTCTATTATTTATATTAAGTCAAGGGCAATAACTATTAAAACTAAAAAAAATCTACATGCAAAACCCCAGCCTGTGCACAGCTTAATAGTGATGTTGATCATCATTACCCTGGTGCAAAACTACATATGCTGACGAACATACCTATAAAGTTTTATGACTCTAGGTCAAATACTTCCTGAGCCAAGTGTGACACAAATTGAAAATAAGAAAATTTTACTAAGTCAAGGGCAAATAACTCTGACAAAGCATAATTAATCCACAAGCAAAACACCAGGTGCATAACATCACAAACTGACCAACATTTTTTTAAGTTTCATGACTCTAGGTCAAATACTTTTTGAGCTTCGCAAGACACAGATTGAAAAATTTGCAATTCAGGGGCCATAACTCTGACAAAACAGAATTAATCCACAAGCAGAACATTAGGTGCACAACTTAACATCCTGAGCAACATTCCTGTAAAGTTTCATGACCCTAGGTCATATACTTTTGAGCCACATGCGACAAAGGTTGAAAATTGCAAATTTTTACAAAGTCAAGGGCAATAATTCTACAAAAACTGCATAAATTCATCTGTAAACACCCAGGCTAATGCTTAATCCTTTAAAGTTTCATGACTATTAGTCAAATACTTTTTGCGCTATGTGCGACACAAGTTGAAAATTGTAAATTTTCACTAAGTCAAGGGCAATAACACTACAAATACTTAAAAAATCCACATGCAAACACCCATGCGCACAACTTCACATGCTGACCAATATTCATGTAAAGTTTCATGGCTCTAGGTCAAATACTTTTGAGCTACGTGTGACACAAATGAGAACGGAAAGACAGATGGATGGATGGACGGACGGACATGCCACTTAAATGGACTAAAGGGCCATTTCTTTTGTTATTTTCTTTTGTTTAATAAAGGGCCATGGCCCCTTATTCTATTGTTACGGAATGAACTCTATTGTTCTCTTTTGTTCTGTTTACTGTTAGATGGCCCCCTTACCCTATTTGGTTGCTCCGATGGACGTTCTCACAGGACAGTAATTATGTGGCTACTCTATTGTTCTCTCTATTGTTCTTTTTCAGCCACACAAAAGAAAATAGCCACATAAAAGCATTACGGAATGAATGACATCAAAGAGAAAGAACAGTTACCTATTGTCCCTCTAGCCACATAATTACTGTCCTGTGAGTGCGGATGGATGGACAAGGGTAAATCTAGTCATGCCCCATGTTTTACAATGTTTTATACATACGCATTCGGAAAAGTTTTAACCTTTGCAATAAGGCCGATTCTGTAGCAAATTGCGCTTGAATTTGAATGAAATCAGTCAAAGATTATAATTTATATTAAAAGTATATAGATATTAAATAAAGCCAGTTATACTGATATAGAGCGGTAAATATTAAATTTAAGTCATGTGGTTTGCTTTTAAACTATTTTTGTCCATCAAAATGCAGGGCAAGGACATTTTGTGAAGACGGTCGGTGAGTAAATTTATAGGTCACTCGCACTGCAACCCTTGAAAAATTCTTCGAAGACTGCAAACCATACCGAGTTATCATATACTGAGATATGTTCAATTGTTTTTAAGGGTTTAGTCTGGAACCCCATTATCAGACTTCCTGAAAGTTGAAAAAAATTGTCAGACATTCGGTCTGACAAATCATGAAAATCTGTCGGACCGAAACGAAATCTGTCAGACCGAATAAATTGATCAAAATCAAAGAAAACTTGTGTTTTAATTTCTAAGACACTTTTTGGTTTTAATTTTTTCGCCGTAAAAATCGGCACATTCCGTACAGCCCATTTTGATCTCCTCCCTTTCATACACCAACGATTCATGGTCCTGCTTCCATTTTTCATTAAATTTTTTCTCAGGTCTATTCTTTTCATCCTTTTATTGCTGTTCTACGGGCTCCTCTGACGTAGATTTTCGTTATTTCCCAGGTTTGGCACCTTTAGCGACGTAATTTTGTATACATGCGGCATGGATAAAAGCCGGACAGTCGGACTGATCCGGAATAAAAAATTGTCGGACCTGATCAAAATTTATCGGACATGTCCGTCGGACCGTTGTATTTTGGGAAGTCTGTTGTATCAAGCTATTTACCCATACATGTAAATCACAACTGCAGTTAAAAAAATTAAATCTCCCTGAATCTTTATTTTGTATCATTTATTTTGATTCTTTTGTCATAATATTTACATGCAAAACATCACTGATATATAGTTTTTAGCATTGGAATATACAGATATTTACAGACATGTCAAACAGGTTGAAGAATTAGGTCAC